CAGGCATTATTTCTCCTAGCTTTTTATTCAGGAAAGATTCCTAAGCACTAGCTACAAGGCAGTGGGTGCTAGGCATTCTTATCCAGGTAAAACAGACCAAAGTTCCTTGACTTTATTTCATGGGACTTATACACTTGTTGGGAATGATCAATAAATTGAGTGTGATTTGTGCTGGGAACACCACAGAGGCAGCGTGGGGACATTGCAGACCTGGAACAGAAGAGGCCTTGACCTCATTCAAGTTGCAAACATTCTTGTAGAAGAAGGAACTCCATAGAGATACATCTTCTGTAAAAGTTAGGCTCTCTTATTTGAAGTTACACACAGAGAGACCGGCAGACAGATGCCCCCACACAGACACAATAGCTCGTCATGACATGAAACATTCAGGCTTGTCTGTTGCTTTCCTGAGTATCAGAAATAACTAACAGTACTACTTGAGAAATGAATTACAGTAAAACATTTAAATCACTAAGTGGCCCTGAGTACTAGGAAATCAGAACATAAGTCTGGTCTCTTGAGTTAGAAGAGATCTTTATCTTGCAGTTCCAGTAATCTGTGGGGATATTTCAGTTACTGATGCCCGACCTCTCTAGCTTGGTCCCCAGCTGTCTTTTTAAAAAATATTTATTCTGCTTTTCTTGCTAACGATTATCTCTTCATCCCGTATCTAGCTGCTGCTTAGAGACGCTGCTGGCATCTCTATTGCGCAACATCTCCACATCAGAGCAGACAGTATCATTCCAAGAGGCTAAAGTTGACACAATTTCCCTATCATTTGCAGTTTTACTTTGGAGGTGGCTTTATCGAAACTGTTCTGATTCAGGCCGGAGATCCTGATTATGCAATACAGCATGAAAGCATTTTTTTTTCCTTTTATGGCAACGGTTTATCTTTATCTTCAGTATTTCTCCTTCTTCTTATTTCAAGCTGAGAGTCAACCTATTTGTTTCTCTTGATCCCAGACATTTTACAGAGTTCGAGGTAGAATCCTCTTGAGAAAAACTGTCATCCTTAACTTTTGTAAAATATTGCCTCATGCATAATAATATCCTTGGGGCTCATCCCCAAAAGGTACGGGAGTGGATTTAAGGCCATTTATAGTATATGTCAATAGGACCATAATTTGTGGGTCTCATGAACATCAGTTACTGGGATCATTCTAGGAGGAAGTACTAGGAAGTGTGCACCCTACACCACATGTTATCTACGGAGACTCACGACACACAGGGCAGAGGTTTGAGAGCTTTAGGACGGTGAAACACTTGTGCCAACAGCAACCACTGTGCACAGCATAACTTTAAGAGCATCCTAGGTGCGAGAGACACAAGCCTAGAATTCAGACAGTTTTCATAGGAGGTACAAATGCCTTGAGTTTCATTTCTTACCAACTGGAGGTGTGGAGATGGAAGAAAATAAAATATCAACCAAATAGGAGAGTGTATGCTTATAATTCTAGCACTCTGGAGGCAGGAGGATGGTGAATTCCAGGCAGGGAGGTGAACAGTGTGTCTGCCTATGAACTAAAGAAAAGGAAAGATTGGAAGATTGAGAGAGAGAGAAAAGAAACAAAACAAAATATGATACATATATATTGATATAGATCAAGTTTTATGCCATAAACATTTCCCCATTTGTAGGCAGTAATAACTTAATTAAAAATAAGTTTCTTTCTCAGTAATTTTTATATAAAATGTTAATAAATGCTGCTGTTACATCAAGTTATTTTAATTTCGGAATTCATCTCATTTCATATCCTTCAACCAAAGAATGTGAATAAAACTGATATCCATCCAATATAGGTTTTCTGCTTACTGACTGTAGACCTTCAGGAAATTGCAAGTTTGAGTTGGTATGTATAAGATATTAACACTATTGTCTAAAGGATTAATTATTGTCAAACCCTGGTCAAACCAAAGTCTAATTTAATCTATTTAATGTATTTAATCTTCAAAAGTTAATACTTGGTTCTGATGTCACATCTTTAGATATGATCATATGACAATTTTACATTTTTTCTCTAATACCTGACAACTAGATACATAATTAATTTGTAAAAAGTCTTATGATTTATATATGATGTGAATTTAAGGAATGTGTCCTTGTCTTTGCTTCTGATAGCTGAACTAACAAAGGAAGCATTGATTGTTTTTAATGAAATTGCTACAGTAATTCTTGGCATCAATATATATGAATGGACACTAGAGGCATTCAGCACTTTTACGCTTTTAATTTTTGCATGACTAGCATCCTTTTAGGGAATCATATGACATTTCTTCTGCAGTATTCCTGTTTAATCTCTGTGACGTAGGTGGAATTGGCTATCTTTAGCCATAGTCAAGTTCTGGCTACCGTTCAGCTTCAGTAATGTGATCCAGTCAAGGCTACCATGACCCTCTCAAGAGTGATGCTGAAAGAAGATTGTTTCCCTTTCTCTATGAACCCTAACTGCAGAGACTTCTGGAGCCTCAGATGCATGGGGTCGCTTCACTTATGAGAGTTAGGAAATGGAGCCATGCTGATGGGAGGGGCTCGATTCTAACATTCCTGCATCTAGAAGTGAATGGAAACCCACTTTCAGAATCGTGATGCGAAGTAGCTGATGCTGTATTTCATACACTTGATTGTGGTAGACTTGTGTCTTTTGTTACAAGCAGGATTTTCACAAAACCATGGGTAAGTGTGCTTTAAAGATGGCTGCATTTAAAAGGCTACATTAAATGTCGTCATTTAAAGATTATTTACACCACGTGTAATCAGACCCCAGTTCTATCTCTACCTAGCTATGTGACCTTGAATCTGTCCCTTAGACACCTTGAACCTGTTTGCTTCCCTCTCTGGGACAACAAGCATAGCAATCTTATTCATTGCAGGCTATTAACAGAAACTGTGTATGTGTGTTCAGTGAATAGGGAGGAGAAGGTGATAGAAGAGAGACCAGGGAGGGAGGGATTGAGGGAGAAAGAAAGAGGGAGGGCTGAATGCTAATAGACTATGTCAGGTCCATGATGAATATTGAAGTTGTTTTGTTTGGACACTAAGCAGTATGCATACTAATAAAACTGGATAAGAATAAACAGATTTAAAAGGGCCAGGTATCAGATCAAAACTTAATTTTAAAGCCAAAGGAGCGGTAAGGAAGACCTAGAACACTTAGACAGAGCTCAGAGAATGGTAACACAAAAAACTGAAGACAGGAGCAGCACCAAGCTATGAATCAAAGGTTGTCAGCCCCTGGCCCAGACACTCTATTTATTTTACTTTTTGAATGGAACCTATGACTCTGGCACTAAAACAAGAACTCTATGCATAGGACCAAACCAGCAGATATTCTAACCTGGCAGAATTTTTGTTAGCAGTGTTAGTACCTTGATCATAAATTTCATTTGATATTTTTTTCCTAGCTAGAGTGCTAACAGGTTACAAAATACTTGGACATTAAATTTCCAGTTTTCTTGGAGTTTTGTACACACATAGTAGACATTCCTACAGACATGTTGTAACAGGTATTTAATGGAATTCAGTTCCAGTCTGGGCTTTCATTTATTGGAAGAGGTGAATAAAATGATTATTTTAAACTATCTGCATTAAAATAAGAAAATGAATTGCATGGCTAAATTATTATATTGAAATTATAATTCACTAAAAGGTAGTGCTTCCTTTAAATGTAGCTCATTTCTAGACTTAAGTCAAAATGTAAGACCATAAACTAGATTAAAAATATTACAATAAAAGTAGAAAAAAATCATCAAAATGTGACAAATAGGCATTTTGCCACTACTTAGAAGCACAATATTTTGCAAACTTGGATATTTTTAATTCCTACATTATTTTTAATTTATTAAATAAATGAATCACAGTAAGTATGGTTTGGGCTAAAAAGATAAGATATCGTGACAGACCATATGCTATCCTATTTTATGATACATGAATATTAATACACAAACTGATTAAATATTATTTGAATATCATTGTTACTAATCATTTCTAACCTTGTAGTCTCAACATGGCAAATTATTTAAACATGTTTGAACAGCATTATTCTCATGTTTATTTTTTCTCATGAATAATTTTTTCTCCAATGCAAGGCTTGGATTATCCACAATTATGTGCAGAAAGCCACTGCCAACAAGCGTCTCAGACACCGGATAACGACTGTGGTAGTAACATCACACATACACATAGATGGCCTTTCCTGCTGTTCTTCTAAACTCCCCATGAACAGCGACTGTGACTGTAGGGGATGCTCACAATGGGACATTTCCTGTTGCTTTATTCAGTGTCTTTTAACTTTTAAAATGTCACCTTTGCACTAATGTTCTCATTAAAAGTTGAGCTACCTTCTGCTTCTGATTTGGACCTTGAGATTTCAGTCCAGTGCTCCATTGTGGGTCTCTGTCTCTGTCTCCTTTCATCGCCTGATGAAGGTTAATATTCAGGAGGAAGCCTATATGATTTTCTTTGGGTTCTCCTTCTTATTTAGCTTCTCTAAGAACACGAATTATAGGCTCAATGTCCTTTATTTATGGCTAGAAACCAAATATGAGTGAGTACATCCCATGTTCCTCTTTTTGGGTCTGGCTTACCTCACTCAGGATGGTGTTTTCTATTTCCATCCATTTGCCTGCAAACTTCAAGAAGTCCTTGTTTTTTACTGCTGAGTAGTACTCTAATATGTATATATTCCATACTTTCTTCATCCATTCTTCAATTGAAGGGCATCTAGGTTGTTTCCAGGTTCTGGCTATTACAAACAATGCTGCTATAAACATAGTAGAGCATATACTTTTGTTGTGTGATAAGGCCTCTCTTGGGTATATTCCCAAGAGTGGTATTGCTGGGTCCATGGGTAGGTTGATCCCAAATTTCCTGAGAAACCTCCACACTGCTTTCCAGAGTGGTTGCACAAGTTTGCATTCCCACCAGCAATGGATGAGTGTACCCCTNAGCTGCCATGTGGGTGCTGGGAATAGAACCTGGTTCCTCCAGAAGACCAGTTGATGTGGGAATGATTTCTTACTAATAAAGAAACTGCCTTGGCCCATTTTATTGGATAGAAAATTAGGTAGGCGGAGTATACAGAAGAGAATTCTGGGAGAAAGAAGGTTAGAGGAAGAGTCGCCATGATTCTCCCGCTCCAGACAGACGCAGGTTAAGATCCTCTCTGGTAAGCCAACTCATGGGCTACACAGAATATTAGAAATGGGTTAGAACAATATGTAAGAGCTAGCCAATAAGAAACTGGACCTAGCCGGGCCAGGCAGTGTTTGAAAGAATACGGTTTCCGTGTAATTATTTCTGGGTATAAACTAGCCATGCGGGCGGCCAGGTGCCAGGGACGCAGCCCTGCCGCTCCTAATTTCAACAGGGAGGGAAAGGGGAGGCGGCGATGGGGAAGAGACAGAAATCTTTAATAAATAAATAAATAAATAAATAAATAAATAAATAAAGTTGAGCTACCTACAAAGTTCCATTTCCCTGCTTAAACAGGTGTTAGGGTCTACAGAGACTCTGCAGATCTTCAGCATGGAACAAGGCTTACGCAGACTTGGAAGGTCATTGTGTCAACACCCATCATGGGAGAAAAGCAAGCCTTACCCTGACTTGGGAGATCGTTGTGTTAATACCCATCATGGCAGACCAGGAAAGGTGTCTAGATCCTTTTCACTCATCTCTCCACAATGCTTTACTCACCACAAGGTGGAAAGAAGCCAGCCTATCCGGATTCCCAAGACTCTAGTTAGAGAAAAGGGGGCAAGCTATTCTGTTTTCTCTTTCATTTCAACTTGGCTCCTATGTATCCCTGGGATGCCCAAGGCACCAGCAGGAGAAAGGAAGTCAGTGTGAAGATACCGGACTCTGACCCTTCCGCAGCATTTGTTGCCACCTCCCCCTCTCTAAGGTCATGAAGAAGGTTGGACTGCTGCCGCACCCCTGTCGCTCTGACACTGATCACCCATATATCATTCTCACGCAGTTCCTGCAGTACTAACATTCTTAGGATCTGGTCCGAAACGCTGGCCTGTGCCTCTGATATCTTAGTGACGTCTTCTCCAGTATTTGCATCCTGAATATGGAACAGTAAACACTGGTTCCTGTTTCCTCGCAGCTTTTTTTCTGTGACAGTAATAACCTGCCTTGAGGTAAAACATGTGCAGAGACACAGAGGACAGCCAATTACATAAAATGAGTTTTAATAAGAAACATACAAAATGATTTCAAAATCCATACTCATGTTTTAGCCAGAACAGGCCAGTCTATCATTTATGCAGAGGTGAGAGGTCAGATATGCCCTTTGTGATTAATGGATTAATGGAGCTTGGACTTAAATGTCTCTACCTATCATGAAGGCTCATAGAGGAGTATGAAAAATAATGTAAATTATAACATAAGCTTAACCATCTGAAAACAGAAAGGGAGGAGAGAAAATATATCAGAGATGCTATACATGAAAGTTTGAAATTATGTCCCTATTTTCTGGACAACATTAGGGAATATACTTGATTATAGTAATCATAAGATAGTTTTTAAAATATTATACCCAATATATCTAGCAGAGAAGTTCAATGAAATGAATGATTTTGAAAATTAATATTGTATAAGTAAGTCACAATAAGTTGTACAAATAGGATGGGAGAACCCAGAAAATCAAACAAATCAGGTGAGCCAATGTTGCTTCATAGAACAAGCACTCTAGGAGTGATTTCTTTCTTCTCCCTACACCATCCCTTATTGTACTTAGTGTTTTATAAATATGTTGTGTGCTATCTTTAAGTAACATTATGCTCAGGTGAAACTATGGTGAATGTGAAAATTAATCCATGCAACATACCAATATAACTATTTTGCAGATATGGAGAGGGCTTGAGGATATAGTATCTTGTTATTGGGTTGAAGGGAATGGGAAGGAAGTATCCTCACCAAATGAAGAACAACTATGTTGTGCTGTTGAGAAAGGGGGAATCTCAAAATTTTGCATGAAGTCTTATATAGATGCTGCATATTAGAATGTGAGTTTCCTAGGCACATTCATTCTGGGTTGCTAGAGTCAGTTATTTGAAGTGGAGAGCTTTATAAAGAAAAGAAGTTTATTTAGCTCATAGATCTGGAGGCTCAGGACCATGGCACCACTATCTTGGCAAAGGCCAGCCTGCTTCTTTCACAACATGGTAGAGAAACAGAAGCTAAATGGCCATACCCAGAAGAGACCAAATATGAGGGGCAGCCACGTTTTACAACAACCTGCTCTTGTAAGAGCTAACTCATTCTGAGAGACCAGCACTAATCATATCCCAGGGGGGTGCCTTCACAGTTTGGTCCTGGTACACAAGGACCAAGCATTCAAAGGTTCTCAACAATATCATACTGGGAACCAACAATGTGGTACATGAACCTGTAAGACAAAGTAATAGCACCCTAAAGCCCAACCTTCCATATTCAGCTTGGGACACTGGGCCTGAAATTCCTGCCGCTTCAGAAGTGCTCATTTTCAATAAGCTTTAGCTGGATGTGAGAGAAAGTCCTAGAATGTAGGAGGAGAAAAAACTGTCACATCCTGTGTGCCGGTGCTAACTTCCTGACCAATGGGACAGCTGTAATATTTCCCATACCAGTGTTTGAATCAGTTTTTGTCCAACACTTTCTTAATATTTTCTCATCACTTTATGTTTTCCCCATCAGCCTTATTCCTTGTTCCCAGCTTCTGCATTGGCCAAGCACCATCATGTTCTGACACGGGGAAACTGACTCAGTGAAGCCCCACTTTGAGCCTCTAATTTTAAAATGCTTTTTGTCTTCCAAATCCTGAGGTGTCATAGTTAACATACTTCTGACATTAGTGTTTCTTTTGGTTGGCTACTTAAAAATATTTCTGTAAAATTCTTTCTTTGGAAATATGAAATTCCTTTTGAGTCCACTAGACTTAGGAAAAATGGTATTATTTTTGTCCATGCATGTGGGTTGAAAGTATTTGATGTATCTTTACACTATAATATTCTATATAACAATATATGCTCCAGCTTTTTCTAAAGACTTACAGATGTTAATTACTTTGCCTCAAAATAATAAGGGAGTTTATCATTGGTGGAGAGGTAACAATACTCTAGGAAAAAGAATAAGGCTCAGAAAAACAAATAATTCTCCCAAGAACACATGCCCATTAAATATGGGACTAGGTTTTCAGAGACCACTAAGTTTTCAGTGTTGAAGAGACTATGTCCATAGGTTAAATCACCCAATACCATTGGGTTATCAGACAGAATTCCCACAATAGGACAGGGGCTTAGAAGATGCTACATTGCTGGTTTTACAACTGCAGAATGGGCTGTATGATTGATACTGATCCTCAGGCTAACAAGACCCAGAACTACCCCATGATACAAGAGGGATTTTCTATATTGAGTTAGTTTGGGAACATGCACATGTAGGATTTTCTTTTTAGGTAATAGAAGCAGAAAGATCCAACCTAATGCAAACATCACCTTCCTGCAGTGAGCTAGAGTTAAAGACACCCAAGGGGAAAGCTTTGCTCTTTGTCCTTTTCCCTATACCACTTCCTGGAGTGTGCTGATTCCCCCACTATGGTCTTTTTTTACTGATATCAGAACCCAACTTTATTGGACTTCCAACATAGACTGAAGACCTAGGCTTTCCAAAAAAAAAAAAAAATGTTCCAGTTCTTCTGCACCAAATTGGGACTGCTGGAGACCCCCAACTTGAAGGACTGAGCAGACCTGACCCTCGGTTTTGCCATGTGAGGCAGCCATTAATTGGACAATTCAGCCTATAGCATGTAAGCAAAACCAACAAATCTCCTTTTAATATATTTATTCTATTTGTTCTGTCCCTCTAGAGAACCCTAGCTAAAACATGCTAGAAAAATCCAAACAGGTGAAAATAGAGATGGCTCCATAGAAGTCTTTGTGTTTTAGGGATTCTAATCTTTGGGACCCTAAAAGAAGAAGTCTGAATTGTTCTCAGCACTGAGTCTGGGGTAATTTGTTATAGTAGCAGCAGGAACCTGAGTGCAGGTTTCCAGGAGATAGCGCTTCTGAATGGCAAAGCCATTAATTTAGATACAAACATCAGGAATATGTATGACATGGCTCAGCTAACTCCATGCTCTGGCTTTTCTGATCCAATAATTTTAGAACCCATCCTCATATACCTACCTTAGAGGACTTTGTTGCAGGGACTTTAAACAAAGCTGAACCAGAACATCATAACAGGTGGAGGAGATAATCTCTACCAACAAAGCAGGGTAGTTACAAAGTTCTCAGATTCAAAATTCTCCATTCCAGTACCAGCATTCCAGTTTTCCGATTATCACTGCTCTTCTAGAGACTCTGATACTTTCACCAAAAAGCCGCCAAAGAACCTGGATGATTCTGAGACACCCAGAGAAGACCGCTGCCTGATCCTATCCTGACACCTTTGTTGTAACCAGACTTTTACCTCCAGTGTCCCCAGCATGTTCTGCTTTGCCTTCCCTATGACTATTTTTCAAATGTGTCCCCATCTTTCTCCTTAATATCAAATATTGCTTACTGTTGACTGAGGTTTCTGTCCCGACTGGTTCCTTCAGCCATTCAGTCCCAAAGAAATACACAGAGGTTTATTTTTGTAAACTGATTGGCCTATTAGCTCAGGCTTCTTATTAATTAATTCTTACATCTTAAATTATCCCATAATTGTGTTAGCCATGTGGCTCGGTACCTTTATCAGTGAGGCACTCTCATCTTGCTTCTTCTGCATCTGGGTGACCACTAAAGACTGTATCTTTCCTTCTCCCAGAATTCTCCTGTTCTCATTGCCCCACCTCTACTTCCTGCCTGGTTGCCCCACCTCTACTTCCTACCTGGCTACTGGCCAATCTGCATTTTATTAAAAAAGTACAAGGAACAATCTTTACAGGGTAAAACCATTGTCCCTCAGCAACTTACCTTTATGATAGAGTTCACATTTAACATCCTTTTTGAGTTCTTTCCTTTGTGAAGATTCATTATATGCTGGCAACTATCTCCTGTGTAAGTGAGGTGAGGTAGAGCACTCACACAGGTCAGGACTTAGTGAAGCATCATTTTCATTCACAGATAGGCATCAAGACACAAGAGAACCCCTTTACGTGTGCAGATTCAACCCCATAAGCCTCA